AACTGTTGATTTAGATTGGTTCACGGATAACTTCACGACTGTGGATGCATCTGGAGGCTCTTGTGGTATGATACAAAGCGGATACGGTGCTAGTTTCGTCAAATTAGTTCGAACCACGCCCGTGCGCCCAATATCCATGAGAAATACACACGCGTAATAACCATAGTCATCTGGTTGTATTGGCTTTATGTCCAGGGTGTAAGCATCGAGCCACTTCTCCGGAGGATAGGCGAACACGCGTTGTGGCTTCCCGTATCTGATCGAAACACGATGGTCGTGCGTGGTGAGTGGGCAGTATAGTATGCGTTCTGACTTATCTCGGTAAAAGTGTGCTGTCGAGGTTGCATGGGACCAGCTTATTGCCGTGGGTGTGAAGCCTTCTCTCGGATTGTACGGAGCCATTGGACACAAAATAGTGACTTGGGACGGTAGGCGAACTATATTGGGGATGATTTGTAATGATTTTGAAATCGGTTTCTGTACTGCTCTGTCTGATTCCAATTCAGCAGTAGTCGAAGTAGTTTCTGTGAGATAGCGCAAACGAGTAGACAGCGACGGCTTATATTCTGACCATTTTCGTATCTTGTTCTCGTCTCTCTCACGTACCCTTATCGGCTTTTCGAAGAAAGCCTTTTCAGATGTGTACTTGTCGTGGGCATCTAATTGTGTTGTTCGAAAGGCCTCTCCGTATCCTCCGTATGTTCCGATGAGATGAGGACTGCGCTTCAAAGAATCTGCGATGAACCCTCTGAACTCATCAGACACCTCTATCATACGTTGAGCTGGAACTGGTATTTGATCAATGGATGGAGGTTCGCAGTCAAATGCACCACAGCCATACCTGTTGGCATGCTGCTCCACTGTCGTAATCTTACTATCATCAGTGCTCGTGGTCTTGCGTCGTCCTCTGATTTCTGATGCGCCCTCTTGCCTCCATTTTCGTCTTGTCGGTGTCCGGCTCGGCTTGAATGCCTTCCTTATCTGAGCTAGCTTTGCAGTCGTTTCACTCATTATGACATCATCTGGACTATATATACGTGGTTGTTCATCGGGTGAGGAGTAGCGCGTATGGCGTTGTGGTCTTGGGGCATGTGATTCCGGACTGATATAGGAGAGCACACTGTCTAAACGTCCTTTCAGCTTTGCGAGTAGTCCAGTCGTTTCATCCTCTGAGTCGCGGCTGAATTCCTGAGTTGGTGACAGGGGAACCACCTGTCTGGACGCGTATCGCTCCAGTGGTCCGGGGCACCCCATATCCAGTCGCTCGTAATCACATGAATGTGGCACCTGTTCGCCAAATTCAATGGTATCTCTGTCCATCGTTGAGGCCTGAACAAG